CTCCGAGACCCTGACACCCCCCTGCAGCAAGGTGAGTCTGGTGGCCTGCCGCCCTGGATACCTCCCACCCTGATCCTCACCCACTTTGAGATAAGGCTGCATCAACCCAGCCCAGCCTTTCCCCTGAGCCTTCCTGGGTCGCAGCTTCAGAGATGCATCCAAAGCATGCGTATTTAAAAGAAAATCTTTATTGGTGATGCACACCTATAATCCCAACAACCCTCAGGATATTGGGGTAGGAGGATTGCTGTGAGTTTGAGGCTAGCCTGGTCTGTATAGCCAGACCCTGTCTCAACCACTGGCCCTACCAAATCAAAATGAGTCACAAACAGAACTGTCTCTGCACGCCTGGGTTCTCAAGGGACCCTTTTACTTCCTCCAAGTTTGTGATATTATTTCTAAATGGTTAATTTAGATCTAGGAATGATTTAGGCCTCAGGCCTGATGATCTTCCACTATGCAAATGATCTTCCCCTGAGCCACACCCAGCCTGGAGGCTGATTTTATTTTATTTTTTTTTAAAGATTTATTTATTTATTATGTATACAACATTCCTGCAATGTATATTTGTATGCCAGAAGAGGGCACCAGATCTCATTATAGATGGCTATGAGCCACCATGTGGTTGCTGGGAATTGAACTCAGGACCTCTGGAAGAGCAATCAGTGCTCTTAACCTCTGAGCCATCTCTCCAGCCCCCTGGAGGCTGATTTTATTATTCTCCAATTTTCTCCAATGAGAATCTGGTGTTCACCATGCTAGTGAACGACAGAGCTGGGACTTGAAGCCAGGTATCTGCTGGACTCAAAGGTCACTTCTGGGACATTCATTAATGACACCCCTGGACTACACTGAGACAGTCCCTCTGTCTGACAACTCTATTTTGAAGGTGGTGATCCTGTCCCAATTTCTTTCATGCTGCCATTCAACTGTTAGTCCCATGTCTACCCATTGGGGGCGCTCTCTGCTGTGAGCTTGTTAGTCCCATGTCTACCCACTGGGGACGCCCTTTCTGCTGTATGAGCCTGTGGCCCGAGAGATCCTGCTAAGGCTGGATGAGAGTCTCCAACTGGTTCTGCACAGCTCCTAGCTTCTCACCACCAAACCCAGAGTGGGTCTTAGAGATGTGGCTTCAGGGTAGTGGTCACTTGATGTGGTTGGGGGTGGGACGTTGTCTTGCTAATTCCCTTCGTTCCATTTGTTTCTGCAGGCATTGCTGACTACAAACCCCAGAATGGGGAAACCATCGAGCTAAGGCTAGTTAGCTGGTAGCCTTGGGCTCCCTCCTGATGTCCTTGTACCCTGCTGCCACCTCAAGTGCACTTGGAGCAATGTCCCTCAGATCACTTCCACTATCTCAGCAGAGAGAATCCTAAACTGGCCCTGCCTAACCCAGGGGCCTTTTCACGAAGGCTGCAGAAGTCTAAAGAACAGGCTGCCCCTGACTTCCTCCACATGGGAAGACTGCTGGCTGTGGGTGTTGAGTATACTGCTCTGGGAATGGAGTCCTGCAAGGAGGCCTCCACAGCCCAGGGGTTGTGGTTCTGACCCCCATAACTTTGCTCTATATTGTCAGGGTGGTGTTCCCAGAGCTGGTCATAAGGCAGCTGCTGGCCAGCCTTCCGCGGGGCCTTCGAACATAATTAAAGCCCGATTTCCCTTTCCTGGCCGCAGTGTTCTGACGTCTCATAGTCATTGCCTGGGGTGCGGAGCAGAGGCGTCTGGGTGTCCAGCAGGACTTGTGACTGCTCTCCTGTGTATCAGGCGTGAAGTGGCACAAACAGAGCTGACTACACACACCTTTATAAATATCACACGAAACAGCCCATCTCTCATTAGGAAGACAAGGGAACCAGTGATAAATAAGTAAAAGTGACTCACGGAAGGTCACAGCTAGGCAGTAACACTGTAGGAGGCAGTGGCGGGCAGGAGACAGGACTTAGGAGACAGAGGCAGCTACTGACTCCTGCTGTGGACTGGGCTGTAGCTGAGTAGTAGAGCACTCGCTTACCAGGCACAAAGCCTTAGTATGCATGTAGCCTAGGCTGGCTTTGAACCCACAATCTTCATGTCTCAACCTCCTGGGATTACCAGTGTGTCCCCACCATACCTGGCTTTGAAGACCTAATTACTGCCCATTCACCTTCTGATACTATCACTTTGAGGTTAGATTTAAGCACATGGATTTTGGGGGACACACAGTCATACCAAAGAATGCTTGTTTAAAAGGAACCTGTATACCTGTAATCTCAGCTGTCAAGAGAGAGACTGCATCCCAGAACTGCATGAAAGGAGAACTAAGCGATATTTGATGGGGTAGGAATGAATATTGCTCCCTTGTTACAGGCTCTGCCGGGCATGCACAATGCCCGGAGTTTAGCATCACATAAAGTCAGCTTGGTGGAGCACACCTGAGATCCGAGTGCTTGGGAGGCAGAGGCAGAAGTATCAGAAGTTTAAGGTCATCTTCATCTGCATAAGGAATTTGAGGCCAGCCTGGAAATAGCTAAGGACAATCAAAAACTTGAAGTTGGGACTTGCCTGCCTCATCTCCACACTAGGGCCCCCAGGTTCCTCTTTTTGAGTTTATGTCCTAAAATGGGTATCTTATCTGACACACTCAGCAGGGACCCAGAGAAGCCAGGGATGAGAAGAAAGTCATATTTGGTGCAGGGTCTCACCATGAGCTTTAAGAAGCCCCTTTTCCAGGTTAGGGGGACCAGTCTGTGTCACTGTGGGGTGGTGCTCTCTGGTTCATGGTGTTTGTGACATACAGGACACTAAAGCCCCGGTAGAGAAATGATCTGGTCAGGGTTGAGACCATAAGAAAAAAAGCTCAGACTTCCACATCTGTAGCCTAGTCACCAGGGATGAGTTCCTTTTTCCTTTCCAGCCTTCCTCAGAAGTGTTTTTGGCACTACCTGCTTCATAGAAGAGCTGTTGGGCCCTCAAACAGCAGGGTTCAGATTTGCGGACACCGGACACCGTGGGAAGTGAGCGGACCCCAAGGAATGAGAAAGCCCTCCCCTCCAGTGATGTGCTCTTTGAATCTGGGCTTCTTGGCCTCCCCCATTCTCCCGCATGCAAACACTCTCCTACTGAGAGCCCTGTTGTCTATGCGGTTGAGACAAGTTAAAACGGGCTTCAAAAGTGGGCAGTGGCACACACTTGGAATCCCAGCGCTCCTGTACACACACCACAAACAATAAACTGTGGAGTACTTTCTCGTCAGGACCATCAGCCCCTGAGTAACGACACGGAGGCTTCTTATTGTGAACACTTGGCTTTTAGCTTAGGCTTATTCCCAACTAGCTCTTATCTAATTAACACATATTTTTAAATCCACATTCTGCCTTGTGGCTCTTTACTCTTCCTCAGTATGGCACATCTGACTTGCTTAGAGTCTGCTGGCGAGATCCATGGGCCTAGATTCCTCCTCCCAGTTCCTCTTCTCTGCCTGGAAGTCCCACCTATTCTCTCCTGCCTAGTTATTGGCCTTTCAGCTATTATTAAACCAATCGGAAGGTGACTTAGGCAGAGACATATCTTTACAGCGTACAAAAAGATTATCCCGCAACAATTTTAAAATCGGAAGTAATACTTTTTAATTGAAAGAAGCTTGGTGGATAATGGGTTAAAAATCCCAGAGGAATATAACTCACAAGAAGCCCAAATTCCTCCTCTTAAAAGAGAGAGGGAGAGAGAGAGAGAGAGAGAGAGAGAGTTTGACTCAATTTCCCTCCCATAACTCTTTTTGGAGACACTATCTAAATGTCCCGGATTTTGGTCCTCTGCCTGGAAGTCCCTATCTATAGTCCCTGTCCTTCAACTTGGGCTGCTCAGCAGCGATCTACGAGCTCCCACGGCATCAGAGTCATCAGAAGCAAGTGTGACAATGTAGATTCCTGGTTCATCCGGGACGGAGGTCTGATTCAGGTCTCCAGTGGGGACTGGCTTATTTTCACCTTTGATGGTTGTGAAGGGATCTGAAACACTTAAGGCCATACGGGATTATGACCACCAGAGGGTGCTGCGAGCCGAGCTATTGGTCCCGCTTTGGGATCTTGTTTTTCTAGGCAGGTTGTCATCCAGGACTTGTTAAGTCAGCTGACAGAGCCAGGTGATGCCTGTACAGCTGGGCAGGAGCTTCCCCAGAAATCCAATGACTGGAAAGAAGCTAGGTTCCAGGATGAGCCTTGATTCTTGATCACCTGGAGCAAGTTATGTTTGGAATCGCCCTCTGGGGTGAGGGACTTAACCTATCCTGAATTCAGAGAACATCTCTTTTTCGGATGGGATATCTGAGACCCACCCAGGAACAAGATTTTAGTGACAGCTGCTCTGCTTCTCGGCCTAGGATTCTGTCGTATGAGCCCCAGGAAGTCCAGCTGTGAGTCACCTCAGAGTGCATACGGGGTCGGCTAGCCCGGGATGGATGTCAGCCCGAGGTACCCTGCTTCTCGTAGCTGTGGTTAGCCCTGGTGATTCATTTCCCCTTCTGCTGGCCTAGAGGGGGCGCCGCCCTGGTCTGGCAGGGGAGAAAAGATTTAGAGGGGAGTGGAGAGGTAACAAGATGAGGCAGTCTTAAGGGACCACGTGGTCCAGCTCGGCTAAATTCCAAGGTCTCTGGAGACATTTGTGGTCTGGGGTCAGGAGTCGCTCTTCATCGCCCTGCTTCTTGACGACAGCTTTGGGACATCTCTGCAGAGCACACCAGGGTTTCCAGCGCTGGATACTTTAAGGGAGGCTCTTGTAGGTGCTGGAGACGTTGGTGGATTCCCGTTGGTGGCGGGTACGGCCGACACTCCCCACTAAGGGACTTTGCCCGCAGCTGCTCAAGCGGAGCCAGAAGGCGCAAAGGCTGTGGGAGGGGCTAGACGTCCTCTGGGCTCCGGGGCGGAGCCTCGTGGGGTGGGGCCGACTGAGCCCAACTTTCCGGGTGGAGCGCCGCTACGGTAGCCGCGGAGAGGGCGGGGTCGGGAGTGCAGAGCGGCGCGGGCGCGCAGGGCCGGACTGGATCTCCGCGCTCTACGCTGCCAGCTCCCGAGCCGAGCCGCAGCCAAAGCAGCCAGAGCAGCTAGAGCAGCTAGAGCAGCTGCAGCCAGGCCGAGCTCGCAGATCCGCGACCACCGGCCTGTTCTCTCCTATTCTTCGCGCTGTCGGAGGCGAGAGGGACTGGGGGAGCGGCGGCTGCCCACCTTTGCTTCCAAGCTCGGTGCGCGATCTCCTCTGTCCTGTCTGGTCATGGCCTGAGCACCAAATACGGAGGTCGGGATCAGTGTCTTCACTCTGACGATCTGGGGGCCGAAGACGATAAAAACCAAGAGGATTCTATGTAAGAGCATCGCGTGAGCTTGGGGCGTGGAGGAGAGTGAAAATTTCCCCTGATACGGGAGGTGCCAGGGCTTACGAGGCCTGGGAGGGTACCAGGGAGTCCGGCATCCCGGCAGCTACGACCTCCGTTCGGCCCTCAGGGAGCTAGAATAATCGGGTGGCTCTAGGATCTAGCTCTTGAAGCGGTGTGGTGCCTTCTCTTGTCTGAGGAACCAGGACGTGGCTCAGCGAGTCCCTGGAAAGCCTGCCTCCTGCCCCAGCCCTTCTGGTGCGGATGTGCCGCTGCCCACTGGAGCGCCATGAAGGCAGGATGACCTCAGCCGAAGCAGAGGCTGTGGCTGGAAGTGCCCGGGAGCATGGCCTCCCCAAGTGGCCTCCTGACAGGCCTCAGGTCCTTGGGCAGCCTGCTCGGGTCAGAGTGGTTGTGGCAGCCCTGGTGTGGTTGTTGGCAGGAGCCAGCATGTCAAGTCTCAACAAGTGGATCTTCACAGTGCATGGCTTCGGACGGCCCCTGCTTCTCTCAGCACTGCACATGCTGGCAGCTGCCCTGGCGTGCCACTGGGGGGCCCGGCGGCCCATGCCTCGCAGCATCCAAGGCAGAGTGTTACTGCTCAGCCTCACCTTTGGTACCTCCATGGCCTGCGGCAATGTAGGCCTGAGCACTGTACCCTTGGACCTAGCACAACTGGCCACCACCACCACACCACTCTTCACATTGGCCTTGTCTGTGCTGCTACTTGGTCGAAGACACCATCCCTTACAGTTTGCTGCCATGGGCCCGCTCTGCCTGGGAGCTGCATGCAGCCTAGCTGGAGAGATCCGGGCACCCTCAGCTGGCGGTGGCTTCTTGCTAGTGGCCACCTGCCTCCGAGGCTTCAAGTCCGTTCAACAGAGTAAGTGCCTGGTCTCCATCTGAGGAGGTGGGGTGTGTGGCTGGTATGCTCTTGTCAAGGGGGTGGCAGTGATCCTCTTTGACAGAATTCAGGGAGTTCAGGCCTCAAACTTAAGCCTTAGAGGCATAGTTAATAACAGTTGCTGGTGAAGTGTGCTCTATAACTTAGCAAGCCTTTTGTCCTACTGGGTCCTCCTACGGCCTCTCCTTGAGTTAGTCAGGTCTTTATTATCCCCATTTGACAGCTGTGGAGTCTCAGCCTGGGCCTTGTGCCAGTGAACAGCAAAGGCAATATTTGAACATGGCATTCAGAGTCTATGCTGCCTAAGCTATATGTCCTAAGATTATGAACCCAGCAGGCCAGTGTGACCTAGGGAAGGAAAGGGAAAGCAGCCAGGCTGTGAGCTGATTGGGAACACTGGTTTATCCAAGCCAGGGAAGCGTTTACTAGTGGCCACGGTGTGACAGTCTGATACTGCGTGTAGATCATCAGTTGTCACAGCCATTTCCATCTCCATCTTCACGGTACAGGGGACAGTACTGATAAGACAGTGTTTTACAGTGGGAGGGGAGAGGGGAAAGGAGGCTGTCCTGCTGTGAAGCTCAGGCTGGCCTCAAACTTGTGATCCTCCTGTCTCAGCCTTCTGCCAAAGAGGTGTATGGTTGTCCCAGGGTCACATGGCTCCCCGGACTCCCACGTCTGGTTTGTGTGACTGGGTGGTGGCTATCGGGAGTGGGCAGCAGGACTCAGAGTTGAAGTAAGGTGCAATTGTCCGCCCAGCTCCAGTATGCCTGGGGTGGAGGCTGACTTCCTGTCTGGGCGGCTGAGGGGCGTTTGAGTCATAGCCCTACCCTCCCTCCACCTTAACATAAGGAAGAAGTAGGAGAGTCGAGAATGGAAAGTAAGGGGTTTCCGGGGCGCCGAGTATGGTTGGGGCAGCCTCCAGCTGAGGAACGGTGAAGTGTGGACTCTGTCCTGCCTGGCATCTTCAGCCAGGACCCAAAGGCCCTGTCCCCATCTTCACCCTAACCCCATGGGCGGGGTGAAAGCCCGGTCTATTTTAGCCTCAGGTTACATGAGCCGAGCCCTGAGCTGGGCCTTGAGTTGGTTCAGGGAAATCCAACCCTGTAGGGCCTTCCTGGGCAGGGACACCGAGCAGAGAAGGCTCCAGCTTCTAGGCCCACATTGCACCTGCCAGAGCCAAGAACTATTCATGCTGGGCTCTGGGCAGCTCCTGTCGGTAGGAGGGGCTGTGACTAGCCAGGCATCAGGGCATTCAGGCATGTTTATAGCGGCATGTTATTGACACCCAGTCTCCCCTAGGCTTGTGCCAGCTCCCTTCTTCCCTCTCAAGGCTCAGTTTCTTACAGTAAGTGTGTTGGGTGCCCTCTTCTTCGCCAGCTATGGGCTATTCAGAGTTATTGGTCACCCATCTGCTTCCCAACCCGACAGGCTTTGGGGCATTTCTATCCTCAGCACCTGACCTGGGGTCTGGCATAGAGAAGAAATTAAAATGATGTCTTTAATTGGTGGTTTTGATATCAGTTGACATCAGATGGGTAAATAGATTAGGCTGCATGCATTTGGGCCAGGTGCTAAAGAAAGCTAACGGTTCCACCAACAGAAACGGGAGCCTCGCTGAGGTGGGGGAGTGGACTGGATCCAGGGCTTGGAATGGATTTTTAAAAAGAGGAAGTTTCTCTTTGCTAGAGACTCTTGGGCCAGATTCAGACTAGAGGATACAGATGTTCCCTGGTGCTGGATCCCTCCCTGAGATCAGATGCCACGAGAACAGGGGCCAGGGATCCAGAGAGTGAGCGCAGGCGGCCAGAGAGTCTCTGCTCTCCTATGTGGGCCAGCTACAGGCTCAGTGGAGAAATGCCACCCTCATACCCAGACAGGCAAGGGAGTGAGGTGCCAGCCTGCCAAACCTGTTGTCGTCTGTACCCACCTGTGTTTCATAACCTCACTTGGTCCTCATCCTTTGAGCCCGCAGAGGGAGGACACTTTGCAGGAGGGAAGCTATAGAGCAAGGTGGGCACAGGTATGGTGTGGGCTCGAGAAGGCTGTGGAGGGAGCTGTGCACAGCCATGGCAACAGAGCAGGAAAGGGCATCCTGAGATGGGACACAGGCTGTGGCAGAGCCCTGTCAGTCATCAGGAGGAGAGCTGGGGGGTCAGCTCCTGTGCTGGGTAAGGTACACTGGGTGTGTATGCTGTTCCTCCCCATGCTATCCATGAGGAGACCAAGACAGGGAGCTGACTATGTCACACATCCAGGGAAGAGACAAAGTGGAAACAGGACAGGAGGTGAGGGTTTACATAGGTCACTGCTGTGTGTTTGCAGCAGGGGTGACGTGTTTTCAGATGCTGACGTGAAAGTGCCTTTGAAGCAGGCGTGGAAGAGCATGCCTACAATCCCAGTACCCTGGGAGGATCATGAGTTCAAAGCCAGCTGGGGCCACAAAGTCAAACTCTGTCTAGAAGCAGAAAAATAAAATACCTTTTCAGCCTGGCATGGTGGCACATGCCTGTAATCCCATCACTTTAGAAACTGAGGTAGGAGTGCCTCAGGGATCTGTAGAGTGTTCTGGGCCAGCATGAGTTACATGGAAGGCCCTTGGCTCAGGGCTAGTGAGGCAGTTTTAGTGGGTGAAAGCATTTGCTGCACAGATGACCTGAGCTTGATGCTTAGAACCCACAGAGGAAGGAAAGAACCAACTCCTGAAAGTCGTTCTGTGACCTCCACATATTCCACATATACACACACATACATCACACAAACTGTGTATGTGTGATCCACATATACACACATCATACACACACATACATCACACAAACTGTGTACGTGTGATCCACATATACACACATCATATACACACATACATCACACAAACTGTATATGGTCTACATATACACACATCAGACACACACATACATCACACAAACTGTGTATGATCTACATATACACACATCATACACACATACATCACACAAACTGTGTGTGATCTACATATACACACATCATACACACACATACATCACACAAACTATGTGTGATCCACATATACACACATCATATACACACATCACACAAACTGTGTATGTGTGATCCACATATACACACATCATACACACACATACATCACACAAACTGTGTGTGATCTACATATACACACATCATACACACACATACATCACACAAACTGTGTATGTGTGATCCACATATACACACATCATATACACACATATATCACACAAACTGTGTATGTGTGATCCATATATACACACATCATACACACATACATCACACAAACTGTGTGTGATCTACATATACACACATCATACATACACATGATGTAATTTTTTTAGTGTTAAAGACCCCATTTCAACCTCGATCCTGTTTCAATCTCTCTCCCCTCAAAAAACCCCATAAATAAAAATGCCTTTGAGGGGGCTGGGACTATGTAGCTCAGCGCTAGAGAGCTTTCTTAGGGAGGGAAGCCCTGGGCTGGGTCCCAGAACCAGAAGGAAACAATAGAATGTCTCTGGAAAAACAGAGGATGGTGAAGATGGGCTGGCAAGGGTGGGGTTACTGAGGAGTCAGCACAACAGGCTAACGTTTTACGAGTTAGTCACTTCTGCCACGGCAATCGCTGCCCTTCTGTGGGCTGCAGGGAGGGGGAGGTTTGGCAGGATGAAGGACAGGTGCAGGGGCTACCCCGGAGGGTGAAGTCCACCTGAAACCGGACCCTTTCTGTCCTAGTGTCTTTCAGGCCCAAGCCTCAAACAACTCCTCAGGTACTAACTTTGGAGTGAATGAGCAGAGGCACTCTACTCCTTTCTAGAAAGGCTTGAGCTGGAGAGACTCTTGCCTAGAGAACCCAGCCCAGACAGCAAGATGAATGGAGAGGGGAATAAGTGCCATTTCCTGTTCTAAACATGGGGTGTGAGTAAGCACTGTGGGGCTCTTTGGAAAGTGTGTGTCAGGAAACAGATCTAGGGGGCCCAGGAGGACACCAGTACCAATTGTCGTCTCTCTTCTACTAAGACTTGGAGAAGGCTCTGTCTGGTCTCTGTCCTTGGGTACACACAGCCATTTCACCCTGTGTCGGCCTTTGATGGTCGCAGTGGTATGGACATAGGCACATACAACCACGCGGGCAGCGGAAGCCCTTCTTTTCCTTGGAAACCTAAAAGGCTTCTGGATTCATCTTGACAGGCCCCACTATTGGTAGTTTTTTTGTTTTTGTTTGTTTAGATTATACGCAGATTATGAAGCGAGACATGGTGGCGCACACTGTGATCCCAGCATTTGGAAGTGGTGGGGGTGTAAATACAGTGTTAGACAAGCGGAGGAAGAATTGAAGGCAAGCCTCAGCCACATGGAGAGCTCGTGGCCAGCCTTGGCTGCATGAAATCATAAAACATCTTTTAAAAAAGAAGGCAACCAAACACCCTGATTTGAGATCGTAAACAGTGAGTGACTGCCAAGAGCCAACAATGGCTGTCTTGTTGGTCCTTTGTCACCCGGCGGTCATAGCAAATGGGCGGATGACTAGTCTCACCATTTTGACTCAAAACTATTTTATCGAACTTCTTTCCTTCTTCCTTCCCCCTCCTCCTCTGCACACTCCCACCCCAGCTCCTTCGCCCTTTCTTTCATTGTAGCTGTAAGTGGTAGAGCTGGGTGCTCCGTGCTCAGTCCCTGCTTCCTGGCTGGAGTGGTAGGGATAAGTTTTATTTTCTACATCTCCTACGCATTCTCCACATTAAGGCTTTTGTACATGTTACCTTTGTGAGCTGTTACCTATAAAGGAGGAGTGGGCACAGGTCACAAGCCCAGCTGGCCTTGCAAGTGACACCTCACATCAGGAGCCACTAACCCTGCTGAGTGAGGGCCGGCTTCCAGGAGGCTGGGTCATGAGGACGGGGTGTTCAGGGCTGGCTCTGGGTGCTGCCTCGATCCCAGTGATGACAGCCACTTTTCCTGGTTGCAGGTGCTCTGCTGCAGGAAGAGAGGTTGGACGCGGTGACGCTGCTGTATGCCACCTCTGTGCCCAGTTTCTGCCTGCTGGCAGGTGCTGCTCTGGTGATGGAGGCTGGAGTGGCCCCACCTCTGGCTCCCACTGACTGTCGCCTCTGGGCCTGTGTCCTGCTCAGCTGCTTCTTGTCTGTGGTCTACAACCTGGCCAGCTTCTCCTTGCTGGCACTCACGTCCGCCCTCACCGTCCACGTACTGGGCAACCTCACAGTTGTGGGCAACCTCATCCTGTCCCGGCTCCTGTTCGGCAGTCACCTCAGCGCGCTCAGCTATTTGGGCATCGCACTCACCCTTTCAGGAATGTTTCTTTACCACAACTGTGAGTTCGTGGCCTCCTGGGCAACCCGTCGGGGATTGTGGCACAGGGACCAGCCTGGCAAAGGTCTTTGAGACCTGGGGGAGCACATGAGCCATACCTGGACAGTCCTAACCTGACTCTTAACCATGGACAATGAGGTTAAGTGGAGAGCTACTATGTCTGCCAGGCCAAAGAGAGGAGGTGCCTTCTAGAAGGGCTGCCTTCAGAGAGACACCCCCCCTCGCCCCTGACAGCCTCACCTGTTACAGCAAGGCCCGCCACTGGATGGTGGGTCCAAGTCTGGCATGTGTGCCTGCCAGATGAGTCATTATGATTAGGGTCAAGTATTACAATGAAAATTGCTGGGCAAACTTAGAACACCTCAATGTGTTATGAAGACAATGCCCAGTGGTTGCACAATCTTTCCTCCGGTGGGGGAGGCCGTGAGGCACACCACAGAAGGCTTCTTCATTGCTGGGCTCCTCTAAAAACTTGGGGTAGCCTGTGCCAACTTCAGGTAGCTACTGTAGCCTCACTCCAGTGCTTCCTCCTCCCCTGGATTTGGGTCTTCCATCCTCAAATAAACTATTTTTGCTTGGACATCTGTGTCATTCCTTGGGGCTACAGTCAAAGGGACATAAAGGGAATGGCTGGCTACCGCATGGTTCTGTCTCCTTTGACTCTCTGTTGGCCTCCAGCCTAACACCGCTCTCTACAAGGTCCTCTACTGCCCAGGCTACCATTGTCCTGCGTCAGGATGGTGGTAGTGGCCCTTGCCCCCACCCCCAAATGTCCTCTCTCCTCTTAGAGAGATCTTCCCAAAACACACGTGCTCTGGAGTTCACTCTGCTCTGAGGACAAAGTCAGGGCTTTCCCCTTATTCCGTGTCCTTACCAGGCGCCTATCTCGCTGAGTACAATGCCAGCTCACCCACCAGAACCTTCGCTTGTGCTATCCTATCTGGTCCCTTTTCCTATATGCCCTCCACCCTCCGCCCTTCTCCTGGACACATCCTCACCTATAAGAGAAAGACCCCTGCATGCTACTCTCCCTTCAAGGAGGCCTGGTGAGAGGGGTTGTTCATGAGGGGGTGAGTCTAGGGTTGTGGGTACACAGGATCAGTCATAAGGACAGCTTCATGGAGGAGCAGGCACCAAGGAAGCACCCAGGCTAGCCTAGGGCCTAGGAAGTAGGCCTTTCATGCCGTGAACCTAGGCCAGAGTGCCCCTGTTGGTTGGCCCCAACTTTGTCTATTCATCTCTCAGTCTTTGGTGATAGACAGCTAAGTCCCTATACCTATTACAATGAATAAGAACCTAGCCTGGGGCACAAAGGCCTGGGACCAGACCCCCTGCTCTGTCAGCCTAACTGCTCTCTCTGTTTAGACTGCATTGTTCTTTTTTCTTCCTTTCTTTTTCTTTCTTCTTTCTTCTTTCTTTCTTTTTTGTTGGTTTTTTTCCTTTCTTCCTTTCTCCCTTCCTCCCTTCTTTTTGTTGTTGTTTTGAGATAGGGTTTCATGTAGCCTAGTCTGGCTGGAAAGCCACCATGTACTACTGAGGGTGACTCCGGACTCCTGATCCTCCTGCCTCTCCTCCACAGGGCTGGGGTTACAGGCGTGTTCATCACAACCCTTGGGCTTATGCAGTACTGGGGTTACAGGTGTGTTCATCACAACCCTTGGGCTTATGCAGTACTGGGGCTTCAAGCATGCCAGGCAAACAGCATCCTACCAATTGAGCTACATCTCTAGCCCCTCCCCTCCCCTTTCTGAGCACCAGTAAATGATGCTCAGGGTTGTGATGGTCCCTGTGGGGAGGATTTGAATGGGGAGCCCAGTGGTGAGGAAGGAGGGGTGACCATCTCAGGGTCACTCACACCTTGCTCCCCACCACTGTTGCAGATCCACCTGGAAATAGGGTCCTTCTGAGTGAGGACAGAGTTAGAGCAGGTGCGGGGGGCAGGGGGCTGAGATCCAGAGAGGACTACGTATTTGTTCATAAAGGACTCCTGTGCCAGGGTATGTGGAGGGTGGCCTGAGGCTGGGTGGGAGAGAGACAGGTGGTGAATGGCAAGGAACACAGACAGACAGGGTTTCCTAGCCTCAGCCTCCACCCAGGCTGGCCTTATAGAGGACCTTGCTGAGTCACTGCCACCCACCTCTCTATGACTCAGAGATGCCACTCGTTTGGTCTGTCCCACCCTTAGCAGCTTGCCCATCTCTGGATTCTACTCTCAGGCTGGGCTGAGCAGGAGAGAAGAGATGCTTTGGCTGGGGAAAGCCTCCTTGGTGACTCTTGTCTTCCTTATTGGAGGTGCTCCACACCATGCTAGGAGTGTCCCTGCCCAGCCTCACCGAGGCTCTTTGGCCTCAGGAGATGTCTGCTGCCTGGGGAGTCATTCCCCGACCCTACACACACACACACACACACACACACACACACACACACACACACGTCAAAGCCTGGTGGTGTGGGGACAGGACAGGGGTTAGATGGATCTGTGCTGGGCTTAGGTGCTGGCTTATCACCAGTAACAGAATTGATGTCCCCAAGACCCTCCAATCAGTTTCCAGCAGAAGCAGAAAGACCAGCAGCAGAAAGCCACGGTCTCACTACTCACAGCAGGGAATCTGGCTAGTCTTGCCGGACCCCACAGTCACCTCTAGTGATGATCACAGCAGCAGGAATCCCATTGCAAGGGCACTGTCCTTCTGGGACTCTGTTGTCCTGGGCAAGTGCCTCACCTCTCTGAGGCTTCAGGATAACAAATGTTGCCTTTCGGGTGGGTGTGAGGGGGAGCTCTTCTCTCCCTCTCCGCTGCCTTCCTGCCTCCCTCCACCAGAGCAAGTCCGAAGCCCCAACTGAATGTGATCATTCCAGAAGGGGCCCTGATCCCACGGTCACACTCCACCTGAGAGCTAGGTCAGCCTTTCTTGTCTTCCTCACCAGACCTGCCTTCAGGACCAGTGCCTCCAGCATGGTGGGGGAGGAGTAAGGGTGTGGCAGGAGGGAGCAGATGTAAGGACCAGCTTCCTTGCAAGACATCCAGTGAAGCGGAAACAGCCCTATACTGCCCTGTTCTTTTAGGCGTGTGTTTCTTGTGATTTCTATCTTAACTGAGCCCTTACCACACACTTGGCCTGAGCTTCTGCGGTCTGAAGCACAGCACCAAGCCAGCACTGATAACTTTCTTTTGTCACAGTGTCACAGACTCGAGCTTCCGAGTCTTGATCTTAGCAATGACTGCTCGATGCCTTTCTTAGTAGGGCAGCAGCTTTCACCTTTCCACGTAAAGCAAGCGCTTTACGGCTTCTTTTCGCCATATCCGAAATGCAGACGTCACTCTGCTATCCTTGTGCTTATTAGTAAGCACAACCATGGTGACCCCACATCTGATAACCATAATGAAGACCAATGGCCGGGGTGGGCAGAAGCAGGACAGGCGTGGCATTGCAATGGTGCACCCTTAGAAGCGCAGGGATTTGTTTCTGTCTGGAATTTACCATTTGATATTTTCAGACTGTAGTTGACAGTGACATTAGTCACTTTTTCTGTTGCTAACACCCTGACCAAAGCAACACTGAAGGAAGAAAGGGTTGCTTTGGTTCAGAGGTTGAGGTTACAGTCCCTTGGGTCAGGCAAGTCCCCCACAGGAGACTGAAGCACTTGGTCACCTCACATCCACAGTCAAGAATCAGAGAGCGATGGAGCCGTGTTCAGGGCAGTTTCTCCTTTTTCAGACAGCCCAGGACCCAGCTCAGGGAATGGTGCTACTCTCAGTGGGCAGAGCTTCCCACCTCAGTTAGCTTAGTCAAGATATAATGAATGCACCACAGGCAAGCCCAGAGGCCCCAGGGTGACAACTGAGACTACCCTTCATGAAGATCAGTACCAGGAATCCTGGAAAGTGGAAGTGGGGACAGTGGTGTGCTGTTGCACTAGTGACAAACGGAGCTCTGGAGTCGGAACTGGGTTTGAGTCCTGGCTCTTACATGCTGTGACTTGGAGCCAGGGCCTTCAGCTCCCCTGCCTCTGTGCTATAAATGGGGCAGTGAAACCTAACCCTGCGGTTCTGGGGAGCTGCCTGGGAAGTGCTTAGCCCAAGTGTCCTGAGTCACTGTCACAGATGCTAGGGAGTTGGTCTCTCCACTTCCTCTGCGGCCACCTGCACACTGACAACCTCAGGGCAGGCCTGCTCCTACTGGACAGAACAGGGTGTAGCCCAGGCCCCCAGGCTTCCTGCCAGGTCTTGGGGGAAGCCAGGAAGTTGGAGCTGTGCTGGGCATCCTGCCATTGTGGACTTCAGGCAAAGCCTTGTTTCAGCTTTAGCTACCAGGCTTCCCCTCCCATCCTGCCCTGGTACCCTTGGGTTGTCATTCGAGAAAGTCAGGGCAAACAAGGACTCCTTTTTTCAGTGCTAGGGACGGAACCCAAGGGTTGTGTGCCTGTTAGGCAAGATTTTCCTTCTAGTTCTACAAGAGGGCTGGGGATTGAGGCTATGGCTCCATTGGTAGAATACACATACAAAGTACTAGGTTTATCCCGCCAGTACTGCGGTGGCTCATGTCTGTATTCCAAGCACTCAGGAGGTGGAGGCAGGAGGTTCAGAAATTCAGTCATCTTTAGCTATATAGTGATTTTGAGACCAGGCTGGGAAATCACATCAACAGTAGGAACAAAAGGAAGCAAGGACTCTTCTTGTGTGTGTCCTTTCCCAGGAGGTACCGCGAGCCTCCTTTCCTGATGAGCCATCTTGCCAGTTCACTGGAGGAGCTGAGCCAGAAGGCCCAGGGCCATATGACAATGGGGAAAGAGTAGAGTAGTACGTTGTTTAAAAATTGTTGGAAGTTTGTGTGGTGGCACACACCTTTAATCCCAGCACTCGGGAGGCAGAGGCAGGTGATCTCTGATTTCGAGGCCAGCCCCGTCCACAGAGCGAGTTCCAGGACATCCAGGGTTACACAGAGAAACTCTGTCTTGAGAAAAAACAAAACAAAAAACAAACTCTGGAAGTTCACTATTTTGAATTAGCTTTTGCACTAGGTCTTAATGTGCCAGATTAAAAACTAAAACCTGCGCAAGTTCCACCCAGCAAACTGAGACTAAATTACTACTTAGTAGAAATGAAGGGAAGAAGAAAGGATAGCCCGGGTTCCCAAATAGGCAGCTGGAACTGGCATGACAATGAGGTCGCCTGGGCGTTTTTTAATCCTTTAATCTTTACCAAAAGGTAACCTGAAGTAACCTGAAGTGTCTGTCCCTCTGCCTGGCAGGCAGCACTCTGGAGGGTAGAGAGGATTGCTAGTCCTGGGCTGTGTGGAGAGCTGGCCTCATGCCCCCTCCCTTACACACACACACACACACACACACACACCCCTACTCCTCCAGTCCCCAACACACAAATTTTGAAATGAGCAGCTTCTTTTGGTTTTAATTACCTATTTCAAGGTCTTGTCTTCAAGTACACCTTTCTGTTTTTGTCTGCCATTTTCTGTAACTCCACATTCTTCTGCTCAGTTAAACACTTCCTCTAGCCAGGCGATGGTGGCGCACGCCTTTAATCCTAGCACTCAGGAGGCAGAGGCAGGCGGATCTCTGTGA